TGTCAATCAGCATTCTATCACTTCACATAAACCAAAAGTTAATTAACTGAGATATAACCTCAGATGCATGCCTCAAGTTTGAAAAAAACAAACGGTCATTTTTACATGGACAGTTTCTTAAGAATCTGTAACAGAACTTCGAAGCTTACCCCCATTTTGTCTTACTTTTTACAACCTGACTATCCAGTTGAATGACCACATATGGATCACTTGTTCCCTGACAGGAAATGTAGGTAATATATCACTGAAAGAAGAAAGTCTTATGGGTGATAACTGTTTTTCATTTGGCAAGAGATTGCCAAAAGAGATAGAGAAGTTCAACCACAGCTAGAAAAGGAGTTCTGAGGGCAAGCAACCTACCCATGGATCCATAGCAGGAAGGTTGATCCCCTTCTTTAGCTTTATGAACAACTGACCATCATAAATCTCTCGCATAAAAGACCTGAAAATGTTCATCAGTCCTTACATATCGATAAAGAAACTTATAACATTGACTTAAAAAGCTTTTTGCCTAAAGAGGGAAACTAGTAAGCTATCTTGATCAAGTATATTAAAGGAGTATAATTACAGAAACCCTTTATATTGAAGTAATAGGATCTGTCAAAATGGTCCCAACAACTTGAAGGAACATCGGCAGATTTGAGCACAGCTTCTCTGCTTTGTTAGTGCTCTTTTCTAGATGCACTCTTAGGCTTTACTAACAATGGTGGAAGAGGCATTTTCAGCCTACTACAGAACCAAATGGTCAGCATTGCCATGGTTCCTGGGATTAAAAGAATATGCTCCAGAGCAATTGAACTACAGCCCAATAATGGGTGCCAAGCATTGCTACAGGGAAGATACATGGGCAAAGCCAAAGTAGGGGACTTAAATCTAAGTCAACAATGTTAAGTGTGCATGAGATAAAGTGCAAAGACATGGCTAAGCAATTAACAAGAGAACAAAAGAGAAATCAATAGTTAAGAATATCCAGAACTCAAAGAACTATTTCTTCACCCCATCCAAAGTGATCTTTCTTAGTTGGTTGTAATATTAATGACTCATGACTAGTCGTAGGGTAAGTTTTAACTGAATGAGATGACTACATACTTTGAAAGAAAAACTGTCTGACAATTTGCTCCGTCCACCTCACGCTTTCCAATATTTTCCTGATTTGAAAGGAATCGCATAACAGTTAAAATCAAATCATACACATCAAACAGAAACTTGAAATTTCAAAGATTATCTTTTTTCTTGGTTAAATCCTTTCTGCAAATTTGGTCTTTGCTACTTACAAACTCATTCTTACAACACAGAGACAATTGTGCAACTACATTTGTACACAATTCACCTTCATTAGTTCGGGGGAGCATCTTAATTGTATTAGTAGAATTGGTTTCTCCTTTATATCTTCTCTTGCCCCTCTCATCAGCCACATTAATTTAAACATCAAATTCATAGTTGTGCCATCAGACATATATCTACTTAAAAGTAGAAATTAACTGCCTTGTTTTCGTTGCAATGGTATAAGATAAATTGATTCTTAGTTAAAAAGACAGATTTTTCTAACAACATTGGAATTTGAAGCACGAACAACATTAACTGATCCCATTTGGTTCATTCTAACAACAATCAAAGGAACAATAACCACTAAACACATGAATAAAATAGATAAAGCTGAGAACTTTACAGGTGGAGTATAATAAGCTTCAAAAGCAAAGCCAGCAAGAATAACAGCCAAGTTGATATCAAAAGGAGGCCTTTCATTTTCACTTTCAGACTCCTGCTCTTTAGCTAAAACGGTCTCATTTTCTGCATTTCCCTTGCTAAAGCAACACAACAAGTGGGGCCCGTTAACGGATTTCGCTCTAAAATAGCTTGAATCCAAGAACCCAGATATTCTCTTGTGAAATAAAAGCTTTCTTGCATACGAAAGTGAAACGGGATTCTTGAAATGGAGCAGTTTTGGCCCTTTTGGGGTGTGAGCAGAGTGAAGAAAGTAAAGGTGCAGTTGAAGACCTGCCATTGAAGATTGGGTGAGGGTTCAAGAATTTTCTTTCTCCGCCTTCTTGTTTCCTCAATAAAGGGGCTTTCACTTTTCAAGAATTTTGCCTTTAGAAGGCAATAGAATTTAGCTTGAGATTTGGTAGTAAGAAGGTGGAGTATAGTGGCGTATTATTGGATGGTGGCAGGGAAGCTGGGAGAAGCCGCGGGAGACAGTTGGTTAACGGTCATTCTAGATTCCTGATTTGGTTTTCTATTTTTTTTTATTTTTTATTTTTGGACTTGAGAATTTAACATTTCATAAGAGGAAAATTAAGATTTTTTTTTTGTGGTGTATAAATACAACTAAAGAAACATCACTATAGGTGTGTTTTTTGATGGAAAACTTGAAAGTGACAATTATTGGATCGGAGATGAATTATGATATCAAGAATGTGTTAGTCTAGTGGTTAAAATTGAAATTTCATTAATCAAAAGTATTTGTTAAATTTCACCTCTCCTCAGTTGAAAGATTTTAAAAACAAAAGAGATGAATTATGAAATTTTCTATTGAGAGTTATTTTTAGAATATTGGCATAAGATTATAAAGATCAGCAATGGGCAGGATCCTAGCACGAATTCCAGGAGATTTTTGTGAAACAGTATTTAATTTTAATCCAGTTTTTTTTTGTAATAAAGTATTTAATCTATCTTCTTTTTTTCCGGCTACGATAACTGTTTATATAACATAATCTATCCTACACTAGGGGGAGGGGCAGACCTAAAGAGACCTAGGGATAAATCGGAGGGGACTGAACCACCATCGGACCAGACGGATGCACTACATATCCGCCTGGATTTTTCAAGCAAAGCCACTTTGTTTTAATGTGGCAAATTGGTGGGCCCCATCAAGCTTTTTAAAGCTTTGGTGGTGGCCACCTGCCGGTATAATCTAGCTAGGATTCTATAAATGTTGAGTATCTGTAATGAAAAGAGATATATGGGACCTTACGGAGTCATGGTAGGGGCTGACATGGTTCGGATACCTATTCTGTGCACCATTCGACTTACTCACTTCGCATCTTACGAGTCAGCTATTTTTTTATCCTTATCCGCCCCACATATCAGCGAGTACCTAATTAGATAGGATCGAGTCAATAGATACTCATTCTATCCGACTTATCATTTAATTTTTCATAAAAAATGATCTATACTAATTTAATTTTATATTTTACATATTCATATAAAATTTAATAAAGATTTTTTCTCAAAAAAATTATCCCACCAAGAAACAAACATGCGAAGAGAATACAAGAAAAAAGAAAAAAATTAAAAGAATTCAAAATCAATAAAAATTGAAAATAAGTAGTATCTTTTTTTTAGATATATATTCCACATTAACTAAACTCTTTTCTAAAAAACATATAATCATGACCTCTATAAATGAAACTTGTAAACAAACTATAATCTCCTATATTTGTAATACTATTTGCTCAATGAAATTGCTTATTTAACTCTAGAAACATTATTTTATAGTACGTGAATAAAAATTAAAAATAATATATATGTGTGTGCGCGCTAGACAAGTCAAGTATTCGCGAATTTTCAATTATATGACCCTAACCCGCCTAGAATCTAATTGGGTACTCGACCCTCTTTTGAAACCATCAAATAATACAGATCGGATATTCTAATTTTCGGATTGAATTGGATCAAATATAGTTGGTTTTTGAGTCAACAAGCATTTTTGTTCACCCCCTATCTTGTGGCCCATAGGTACAATATTTCTTAAGCATTTTTTTAATGCAATATTTGTTATATTTAGTTTGCAAATAAGCTCAATGGAAAAAATTGAGCCAAAAGTCGCAGTGCCCCTCCTTGGGTATAGGTATGAGATTCAAAATCCCTTGCTTATATTTTTCGTTTAGGACTTCTAAAACATTTTTGGAGATAGTTTAGTTCTTTTTGAATTTTCAATAATTTAGTTACGTCCATTCCCATTCTCCAATATATACACAGGACCAGTTATAAAATGTTGCATTTAAAAAAAAAATTGTCCAAACCAAACACATGATCAAGGTAGTTTCGAATTTTTGTCCTAGCAAGTACATCGAGTAGTTCAACGAGAATGGATTTGGAAATTATTTCCTGAAATCTTCAGTCCCGAGTAGGCCTATCAACGAGTTGGGTTCGGATCGAAATTGAAAATTTCGGATCCAGACCCATTTTAATGTACTAGCCTCGGACCCAACTCGTATACCAGATGGGTCTTGTGCTTAAGATTCCAGAACCAGATTCGACGGGTCATAGGTCGGGTCCAGATCTATCTAGAAAGAAAATGTCCAACATGTATCATTCATTTTCTTTTGTCCATGTTAGCAAAAAGGCCTAACATGATCTCAAAATATTTAGTAAAAAGTACTTATATGCAACTTGTGATAAACACATTTCTGGTCAAACAAGTTTGCCTCTACCAAATCCTAATTTCTTAGATGTTTCATCAAGGATACGGGTAATTTGGTAAAAGAATACTTTTCTTAATTTAGTAAAAGAATATATTTAGAAATATTTATATTTTATAATTATTAATGTATTGTTTGTGTCCGAGTCTGATAAGGGTCGGAATCCTAGATTTCGCATTCGATCCGCTTTTTTTTAGAGTAAATGGGTACTGGTTCAGATCCGGGTACCGGAATTATTTCTCAACCCATACTCAGAAAAATTTACCAGAACTGGGCCAAATTCGGTTTTGACAGCCCTAGTCCGGAGTCCTTGACACAAATTCTGTGAATCAAAAAGGTGAATTAATCTAAGATGCGTGCAAGTTAGATAGAAAGCTTATTATATAGCAATGACAATGAAAGGGTAAATAGATAATATTAGTAGTCAATATTAACTACTACAAATCTCCATTTTGCAAACCTAGCTGTAATTTCAAAACGTTGGACTTCGGTTCTGTAACTAGTCTTCTTGTGGAAAACCTGTTTTGGAATCTTAACAAGAAGTCAGAAAAAAGACCAAATTGTCTCATTTTCTTCATGAATTCAATATATCTTTTATTATGGTCAATACTACCTTGTTACACTTGAAAAAGAGTTCTATGTGTCAAGAGACTCTTCAGATCAATGGAAAATTAACATGCTTCCAACTCTAAATAAGCTAGAAACTGAAGCAAATCCTAAGCTAACCTAAAAATCATCAAAATGGTATAAACTCCACACTAGCAACAAATTGCAAAAAGCTCTTATTACATCATCTGAGAAATCCCTAAAAAGAAACCCCTACTTATGATTTCCTTATACCATTAGAGTATAGGAAACTCCTAATTATTGGAAATGACCAACAAATAAATCAACCAAGTCATGATTCTCACGAATGACGTGTTTCTTTCACTTCTTAGTGTTGTTGTCACCAACTCCAAGTGTGTTCTTCACACCATCAACAGCTCCCTGAGCCATGCTCTTCACTTGCTCGCCAGTCTGAAATAAAAAACAAGTAACAATAATGAGAAGAAGATGACAAATAATTGAGTGTCAAGAAAAAGAATTTTAACCCCGAATTCTTCTTGGACAAAAACTGTAAAAGTTGAAAACCTGCTGAAGGAATCCGGCACTCTGATTTGCAGCCTGGGCAGATCGGTCACGGGCCGCATTTGTTGCATCCTTGCATGAATCAACCCACTGCTCTGTCTTGGCCTGCGTATAAAAACTTGTTAGTAATAATCTTGGGATGGAGAGTCCTACTAACGAGTCTTCAAGAATTCGTCCCAAATCAAGAATTCTCGTTTTCTTATACTTGATGATTGATAAGATATCTCGAAAATAGAAACATATATCAGCTGTATATGATGATCTTAAATTAATGCAATAGCCGTCTTATACATGTAATTGAGAGGATAGAAAACTCATCTAGCATCTTATATATCATCAGCAAGACAAATTCTTTTTCCAACAGAGGAAGAATAGTACAGCAGTTTTATGCCATGAACAAAAAGTAGAATAATACTACAATGTCTATGGATAGCCAATCATTACAAACAGGACAGGGCCATGAAATTTGCTGCAACAACGAGAAAAGAATGATAATTGCTAACACTTAAATGGAAGAGGTTCAATCACCTGAGTTCTGCCATGGGTTTCGCCTGCATTAAACTGTGTGCTCGACATTTTTCTTAAAGATGAAATGAAGTGACTAAATCGTTTGATATCTTTGTAAATAAAACCGAAAGTCTGCATTTTTGCTTGAATTAAGCTCTTGAATTTATAGTAGAACATGATTGCCTTTTGAGGTATGAGGTAATGGCTCGTAGGAATAGCAGGTTGTTAGGTGTTGCATATTATGCTGCATTTGACCTGGACAATAGGCTTGTTTCATGTGGCTGTGGAACTTGAAGAATTTTCTTTTTTCGCCTTCCTTTTTTATCAATGAAGGGGTTTTCACTTTTCAAGAATTTTGCTGTTAGAAGGCAATAGAATTTAGCTTGAGATTTGGTAGCAAGAAGGTGGAGTTTAGTGGCATATTATCGGATGGTGGCGGGTATAAGTGGCAAACAAACACATTTAACTAAATTTACCCATACTTACCCATGAATAAATTGGTATGAATATCTTAAATTTTTGTATATAAGTATAAATGGGTTATCCAATAATACCCATTTAATAAATGGATATTATTGGGTAACCCATTTAATCTAATTAACCCATTTAAAATTGTCTTCCCCCAAACTTCTTTTCTTTCTCTACCCTTTTTGTCAAAATTTTCATTTTATCATGATGTTAACTACTTTTGTTTAATTATTATTATTTTTATTTTATCTTATCATTTTAGTTTCTTTTAGTTTGTTAATTTGTTTATTTTTCAATATTAGCAATTTATGACAAGTTTCAGCCTCTTTTCCTACCTTTCCAAAACGAAATTTTAAATTTATACACGAAAAAAATGCTAGGGTTTCAAAATTTTGGATTTAGTTTTTTTGTTAACTTTTATCGTACTTAATTCAAATTTTTATATTCTTATTGTTCAATTATTAAATAGTATGTAATTTTGTGACATAGATTGCGGATGCCAAAAAAATTAGTAATTAGGCTTATTGAGCATTAGAAATAAATATTTAAAACTAATGATATGTGCAAAGGGTAGTATAAATTGATAACTTAGTTTGCAAAAATGAATTTAAATGAGTTTATAAAAAGTTAAAATAAATGGCTTATAAATGGGTAATTGGATTATCCAATTCATTTTTGGACTTACTCATTTATAACCATCTAATTAAATGGGTATTAATGGTTTGACTCACTTATACCTATTACCCATTTTAACGAAACCAAACCCGCCCAAGTCACCTATTTTGACACCTCTAGTGGCAGGGAAGTTAGGAGAAGCTGCGGGAGACAACCGTCATGCCAATTGATTGACGGTCATTCTAGATTTCTTATTTGGTTTTCCAATTTTTTTTATTTTTTAATTTTTGGTCTTGAGAATTTTGGTTAAAATGTCTTTCATTGATTTTAACATTTCATAAGAGGAAAGTTAAGATTTTTTTTGTGGTGTATAAATACAACGAAGAAACATAACTATAGGTGCATTTTTTGTTGGAAAACTTGAAAGTGGCAATTATTGGATCGGAGATGAATTACGATGTCGAGAATGCGTTAGTCTAGAGGTTAAAATTGAGATTCCATGAATCAGAAATGTTCGTTAAATTTCTCCTCTCCCCAATTGAAAGATGTTAAAAACAAAAGAGATATATTATGAAATTTTCTATTGGGAGTTGTTTTTAGAAAATTGGCATAAGATTATAAAGATCAGCAGTGGGCTGGATCCTAGCAAGAATTCCAAGAGATTTTTGTGAAACAAGTATTTAATTTTAATCTAGTGTTTTTTTTTTGTAACAAAGTATTTAATCCAACTAAGAGTCTATAAATGTTGAGTATATGCAATGAAGAGAGATATATGGGACCTTAAGGGGTCGTCATAGGGGTGGTATGAGTCGAATACCTATCTCATGCACCATTTGACTAACCCATCCCACATCTTACGGATCAGCCATTTTTTGAGTCTTATCTACCCCGCATATCAGCAAGTATCTGATTACCTAGGATTTTTATTTATATGGTTCAATCTTAATACATTAGTACCCTTAGAATAATGTAGACAGTTTAACTTAAGGCATGTTATACATATATATTAATTACATATTAATATTTTCTGAATATATTTTATTCATCTCTTACAATCACAAAACTCTAACATTACAAAGAAGCTTTAAATTTTTATGGAATATCAATAATTATTACCTTAAAAATAAAATAAATAAAATAAAATAAATGAATGTAGTTTTTTTTTTTGTCCTTTTTCTGAGACTAAAAGTATGTATACTGAAATTTAGGCGCTGTCAATTCTACACCTATAGGCCATTACAGTTTACCAATACAGTTACAGGATCCAAAACGACATCGTCGTCTTGGCGTGGCTCATTTTCACCGTTATCCAATATTAATGGCGCCTAAGTAGCTTTTACACGCAGAACACACACTTCTCTTCAGTCCTTGCACCTTTCTCCATGGCCGTAGTCAGTGGAACGTACTGCCCATTTCCCTCTCCCCCTTCTCCTTCTCGGTTGTTTCTTCCTCCAAAGGTCCCTCACTCTTTCTCTGTCACACTCTAAAACACACACAAAATCTCACGCAAGTTATACAGAAAAAGACACGTCTTGAGTGTTTAAGAAAATGTTTGATAAAAAGCTGAAAAATAGTTTCTTTCTTTTCTTTTTTTTCTCTTCAAATATAGATATGTTGTGCATGTTCTTCTTTTATGCTCATTTTTGCTAACGCTGCGGAGAATTTTGCAGAAACAAGTTCAAATTCAAGCTCAAAGTCAGTGAAATTAAGGGAGGACTGGAGGAAAAAGTCCAGACCAATTCCTCCTGGTGGGGTCTATCCAGCAAAGGACCACTGCAGGTTTAAATTTTCGCATTTTCTTGAAAGCCCTTGTTGGGAATCATTGTATTTTTTTATTTTTATAAAGAATAATCTACTTGGATTTTGTTTCTTTATGCTTAGTTACAGTAACGGTAATTAAATTTTGAAGTGGCTGAAATTGGTTCCCTTGATTTATTGGTTTGGCAGTAAATGCGGGTTGTGTGATACTTATTATATTGCCCATGTCAAGAATGCTTGTGCTTTTCTAGGAGATGGCATGTCCAGAATTGAAGTGAGTTTTTCCAGCTTTGTCTATTTATCATGCTTTTTAGTTGTCCAATTTCTGTAGCATACGGGGATAATATTTTGTATGATATGGAACTAATGTTTTATTTAACAGTTTAAACGTTCGAGCGTGCAATATAAAGCTGGGGGAGTGATATTATTTCTTAATCTCCATCTATTGGAATGAGATAACAGGTGGCAATCATAATTAAAGTGAGAGGCTTATTGACTATTAGTATATTGTAACAGCCCGAACGGAGTGCTGCTGGAAGAATACCATCCTAAGTTTTACTTACTTATAAAAGAATCTCTAAGTAATCTATTTGGAATAAATGCAATTTGATCTCCCTCCACAAACTCCCTATGTCATCTGTAAGGATTCTAAAGGTAGCTCCCACCGTGCATGGTGCTTTTAGGATTCTGTAATTCGTAGGTGCATTGTGGTAGTCTCTACAATAGCCAAAGTGGAGCATTAGACAGAAGTCTGTTGGCCCACCTAGAACATTTTAGCTTGTCCTTTGGTGGTTCATTGATCTGAAACTTTGTCTCTGAAGTCAAAAAATTCTTGCATATGAAATCTTTGAGAATTGGAAAAATGAAGTACAAATGTTGTTTGATTAAGTACTCTGGAACCTTTAGCTTAGGAAGAAAGTAGTTAGCTATACAAATTTTCTACTAAATCAAAGAATTCTCTCTTTCTAAACTATACGATGTTCATTTTGACGAGCTACTTAGCATGTAAAGATAGGTTTGTCCAACATTCAAGTCTTATTTGTTGTGCCACATTTTCTTCCTTAGGCCTCTGAGCCATCAATAGAGTTTGTACTGGTGCTAATGTTATGCAGCACAGATTCTTGTGAAATATTTAAATTTATAGTCACGTGAAGTAGATGAACTCCTGTAGATATGCAAAAAAACCAGATTCTTTAAGAGGATGTTAAATTTCTCCTTTCTACAAACCTTGTGACTCTACTCGTGATTTAAGTTATTTCTCATTGGCATTTGCTTCAGGATAGAGTTATGTCTAAATTTAAGAATTAAATTTTATGAAGTCAATTAAGCTGCATAGTTGTTTTTTGGATGTGGTAGACAATTGAAATTACGCACCAAATAAATGTTTTCTCACATGGTAAGAGATAACCATAATGCTATATATCTTTACATTCAAAGTGTCCTAGGAATTTCCTCCTAAGCCCTGGTTTAGCAATAGTGACTCTTTGAGATCGGTAAAAAGTTTCCAGTTTTGTGCGTGCAGTATCTTGCAATAACAAATATTTCTTGACTGTGAATTACAGTCTGTGCTGTTTTCTTGTTCGTTTTGCCTTAGGCCTTAGAACAGATGGTCCATGGCCGAGGGAGGAAAGCAGATTCGCTGGATGAGGTGTACCTGGGGGTCTATGAGAATCTTTTGTATGCTCGAAAAATTAAGCCTGTTGATGGTAAGCATATTGAGTTCTTGAACACATTTTATAAGTAGAGAAATTTAGATGCTAGATAACTAACTTGATGCTTTTGTCTTTTATCCGGTGCTGCTACTTCTTGATAGAGGCTCATCTGAGTTTATTTGGAAGGAGTTTGGTGATTCCATAAAATATTATAGCTAATTAAATAAAATGCCCTTCATTTAGTTTTATCATTAATGTTTTTCACTCTCAAGATTTCTATATTCCAAAATTTTTAAATAAATCTATAATATAAGAGTTTTAATAAGAGTTACAAAATTATTGTATGTTACATTTAAACTGTGTATATAATCAATTTGGCCAATAGAAGCGAATGCAGGCAGCGAGGATCTTCCAGACGCTTTTGTACTTTTCTTCTTTTGCCCCTCTATGTCTGTGATTTTTCTATTCTTGTAGGTGAAAAATTGGCTGAAGTTGGTTTTCTGTCGAAACATACCTGTCTTAAGCTAACAGTTATGATGAATTCTTTTTAATCCGTGTATCTGGCGATTCCGGCTTTGATTTTGAGGCATCTTGAATTACCTGACAGATTCTTTTTGATATGTATTAGGTGATTTATATGTCCTGATTAATGCTGTTGAATAACTCATGGCTCTGGTGATTGCGGCTTTGATTTTGTGGCATCTTGAATTGCTCGACAGCTTTATGTCCTTTATTCTTTTTGAGATGCATTAGGTGATTCATATGTCTTGACTTATGCTGTTGATTTGTAGGAGCTCAGTGGACTGGAATAGTTACAACAATTGCCGTGGAAATGCTTAAAACTGGCATGGTAGAAGCTGTTATTTGTGTCCAGAGGTAGTTTACCATTTCGTGATGTTCCAAGAAGTTTGTTTATTCTACAATGGATTTAATTTTGAAAAGTTTTCATTTCTTCTGTTGTCTGGGTTCCTAATTCTCTCTTTAATTTGCTCAAGTGATCCTGAAGATAGATTTACCCCAAGACCTGTCCTAGCAAGGTTTGCTGAGTTCAATTTCTCACTTCAGCTTAGTCTTCATTTATTAAGAGACCTCTTCATTAAATCTTTTCAAATTGCCTTCTACTTATGTTCTTGTGTCTAATGTTGATGTACATGTAGGACACCAGAGGAAGTCATAGCAGCCAAAGGTGTTAAGCCTACACTATCCCCTAATCTTAACACCCTGGCCCTTGTTGAGGTTCTTCCTACAGCTCTTTAGCATTGTTACTTTCTTTATATCTTTATACATATATACACTTGTGGTACTTATTGTTAAACTAAACTCAGCTTAGCTGACATTAGATGGTATGCGATAGAGCCTTTGTTGAACTGAGAAAGTAAACTGACAGAGTTGTAAGTGTTGAAGTGCTTCTCATAGAAAAGTGCTTCAATTTTCAATTTCATCAAGAGCAATTTTGCGCCAAACCATTGCCCACAAAATGTGCTTATGAAAGTTGCCACAATTTTTAAATCATCTCGCATGGTTTTTTTTTTGAAGGTCCTCCTGCTGGTTCATTTGAGCTGAGTTCCTTTTTGTCTGCAATGATATGCATGACCAAGTATTTGAGCCTTTAACCTGTACAGAAGGTCCTTCTGCTGGTTTATTTGAGTTGAGTTCCTTTTTGTCTGCAATGATAGCACGACCAAGTATTTGAGCCTTTAATCTGTACACGAATGTTTTCTTCTTGGTTAGTGATGACAAAAGTCTCAATTGTGAGCATCCACATTTTTCATTTGTCTTCCCATTTCAGTAATTCTTCATGTTTGTTACTTGTGGACTGCGAGATGAATTTTAATTGCTGAATTGCCTCTGTTAGTTTTGATTACATGCATTAAAAAGAGAATACTATGTCAATATTCAAATAATGCATGAGCTGAGCAATGTTTCCTTTCGATCTTCTCTTGTATTTCCTGGAAGCATTAGTTTCTAAATCTTCTTTAGTATAGTCTTTCCTTTTTATAATTGGATTTCTGTGTTTCTATGTTTTAATTTGATGAAGTGAGTCATTGGTGGTCTTTCATGTAACTTCTTCACTTCTGCATATACATATCTTGGTTTTGGTCTCTATTAATTTGGATCTTCCTTGTGACAGGCAGCTGGAGTGAAACGCCTTCTTTTTTGTGGTGTAGGGTGCCAAGTGCAAGGTATTACATGTTTATCATCTGGGTATGTGCTGATTTCTCCAGTTTCTTTTTTGTGACTATTACTATCATAATGCAGAGTAATTTCTTAAACTGCAGCATTGAGATCTGTTGAGCACCACTTGAATCTGGAGAAGCTTTATGTTCTAGGTACTAATTGTGGTAAGTAGAAACTCAATCATGGGAATACATGATTGGAATTGAATTGGAGTTCTCTAGTGACCCAATGTTCTGCTTGCCAGATATCCTTTTGCTTTTAGCCTCAACTTGTGCTTGATCTAGTAGTAGTTCTGCTTGTTGTTTGAGGGGATTAAAATAATCTTTCCCATTTTCTTCTCCTATGTTTGCTTAGGTCTTGGATACTGATTCTTATTTTTCCTATTTTCTATAGTTGATAACGGAACAAGAGAAGGCTTAGATAAATTCCTGAAAGCAGCTAGCAGTGAGCCAGAAACTGTCCTCCATTACGAGTTTATGCAAGATTATAAGGTTCTATATCTTTTACTCTTGCTTTTTGTGCTTCCAACCTAACAGTTTGGCAGCAGAATTATATGGTTAATTTGTTTTTTCTTCCACTAAAATTTTAGAACTGAAATAATATTTTCAAGTTTGAAATCTTGCCAACGTTGAACAGTAGAAAAATGTGCAGTTTTGGTTTCTTTTGAACATGATGAACACTAAAGTTCATATCAAACTTAATGAAAATGCTTACAATTATTCGAGTCTAGTGGTGTCTGAAAAGTTTGTGTCTTGGAGTTTTTGGAGTTCAACTGGTGAACTTCGAGATGCAATACTTGGTTGTGAGGTAGTTTTTCAATTCTGAACTATCTCTTTGTCTACCTATAGTTCTATATAAGTGTGTATATTTTATCCTCCTATGACTCATTCTCCTCGACAAAATAAAATCAGAATTGGGTAGCTAATCTAAATTGCTTTTTCCAAATGAATTTGACTTTTAAGATACTTATGAGCAGTTTTGCTGGTTATCTATAAGTACATGTTCTTAAATATCTAGGAAGGAAAAAGTACATATTAGTGCTGCTCCACTATAGTTACCGATGCTTACATATTTCGATTGCCTATGCTCAAGAATTTTCTCTCTCTAACACTTTGATAGGTTCATTTGAAGCATTTGGATGGACATATTGAAGAGGTAACACCCTTATCCTTCTTTTAGCTTCTAAACTCTTGGTAGTATGCCACTTCATCGAAATATATTTCACTAAAGCAGGTTCCCTATTTCTGTTTACCAGCAAATGATTTAGTAGATGCATTGCACCATCTTGCTACAGGTAATTGCTAGTTGGTTATTGAACTCATTGGAATTATTCAACTGCATGATTATCATTTAATTGTAATTACCTCCTAGAGATTCATGATGCATATAACTGACATGTCAATGAAGTGGGTGTCATGCATTTGGTCAAGAAAGATTGTCTTTGCAACTAGGCCTGTTTTTAAAGCCAGTTAGGATTAGAAAATGGTGATACCTAGTCCTACGTGCTAATTTTGTACCATGATGGTGATTATCATTCACCATCTTAATGTGTAATCACAGCTGTTGATAAATTTGTTTTTATATCAATTTTATGAGGTTTTTGTTCTTTTAAAATGTTTATATTTCTGTCAGAAAGTTGTGGCACTCTTCAACTTATTCTTTCATATAAGCTCGTGCTAAACTATTAGCTTTTGTTGTGTCTTACAGCTGTTTTGACTACACAAATGGTTTAGCGGTGAGTTTTTTCTACCCGAGTCTGGGATAGAGGCTTGATGTTTATGTAATTCATATATAATGAATGTATATGTGCCATTTGTTGTTTACAACTGTGCCAAGTTAGAGAATTTGGATTTGCGGCCTTGTTCTCATTTGCTTTAGATTTTGCAAAATCTGATTATGAAAGTTTATAGCGAATAATCAAAATCAGCAAAAGCTACTCCTTGGTAGATTAGGGATTTTAGCTTTTTGGATCTGTAAGCTAAATGCAAAAGCAAATGAGAACATCAGAAAAAACTGATTATCTAAAATCAGAATCTATATTCAGCTAAAATGATCAACCGAACAAGCCTACGGGCTTAAACACATCCTTTGTAAGTCTTCTCACTGGATATGCGTCCTTTAAATCTCTTATAGACATATAAGTTTGGGTAGGCCACTTCTCCTTTTCTGGTTGCAGCTGAAATTTTGAATTTTAAAAACATTCAAAAAATGCCTTTTTCTAGCTCTGAAGACAGAAAGGGATGGATTGGAGTTCTGTAATGTAACTGCATTTTCTAGTTTTTCAATTATATACATAATAAATTCTGATGTTTTTTTTCATAACCTTTTACTGTTTTAAATGCACTTCTATATGTTACCTTACTTGATCTATGGCCAGTCACTAACAGTATTTTCCCCTAGTTTGTTATGGACTAGCCCTACTTGTCACCACTCCGTTCCCCCTCCCCCCCCAAACACCAAAAAAAAAAAAAAAAAATTGAAAGAAAGCCGTTCCCATCTTTCTCTATACACTGGTGATTTCATCTCCTTTCCCTTAGAAATAACAATAAACATCTTCAGAGGCCTTGTCATGATTGATAAAAATTGTATATCCCTTTGAAATTGTAGCTTGTCTTCTTCATATGTCAAGTGAAACGTCTTACTACTCTTCTTTGACTACATCAGGATTTGGTGGTGGGATACATGGGTGTGCCAAAGTATAGTGGTGTCAGCATGACACAGCATCCACAGTATGTTACTGTCAGGTAAACCAGTGCTAGCAGCTGTTATGCTGTGCATTATGTGATTTTTTTCTTAGCTGGCACATTTAGTATTTTTTCTTCCTGTCATACCTTAATTTGAGATAAAGTTCCTAAGGTGCTGTCTTTCCTTTTATTCAAATGGAAGAAATGAAAGAGGACGAGAAATGCTGAAACTTGTTGAAAACCTTTTGGAAATTACTCCTACAACTAGTCTGGTAATGCACCATACTCCAGCTAGTATGCTTTTGATTTCAAGTAATCCTAGCAGTGAAATTGACTCAAATATGTTTGTTATCCAGGGGAATCGACAACCATTTGTCATGGAGACAGTGAAGGCAGACGATAAAGCCAAGTTGGGTATGTTGTGATTAAGTTTGTCCATTTTATTCAAGAAATGCATCTCATTTGACCTGAAGCAGTAATATATTCACTCTTCCTTTATAGTAGTACTGGCCCTCTAGCATCTGGATTTGAGATCAAAGAATGCCTGCTCATTATGTTTGTCCCTCTCATTTATTTGCTTCTCTAATGTATTCTTTTTCTGATCTGTAGTAACACCATAATCACTATTCTCTGTTTATTTTTCATTCTATGTTTTTTCGATGTGTTTCGTGAGTTTGGAATGTTGAGGGCGTTTTCTCTTATCGTGAATACTGAAATATCGCTTTACTAGGCACATAAGTAATTAATTCCTGAAAGTAGACTTTTTAATGTCAATCTTTAGATCTTCAAGTCAAACTTGGATCCATATTTTCCTTAATCTTCAAGTATCCTTAAACCGTTTAGTTTCTTTGGATATTAAGTTCATCAATGCAGGCCTCCATGTCTTTTTGTTGGTAAATGAGTTGTAATTGTTTTATGAAGGAATGAAAAGTACTTTGGATTTGATTTTATCATAAAGAATTGCTTAGAGTCTCTTGCTTTTCTACTTTCTTCCCTGGTTTCCTGTCATTTTGGCCTTGCTAGTTTCTACAACTAATATTTTGTCAATAAATTCTGTCCATAATCTCTCTTTTTTGGTGCTACATCAATACCTCCAATGGATTAGAAGTTTTAAAAGAGCTTTGAATGCATAGAGTAGAGGCCATTTAATATATAATAGAGCGGTGATAACATCCTTCTACCCTGATTCAAGCTACTGTCTTTTGATCTAACTTGAAGAGAACAACTTTTCCCTGCTTAAAGAGACATATTAGCAACAAGGAAATGCATCTTTTGCCTGTCTTACACAGTCGATGTTGACATAATTCGCATTATCTACAAGGATACTATTGTGTAAGAACTGAATAGCTATCTATCTGCCAGTCAACTCTCTTTTTTAACGACTCTGTTTTTGCATCGGACATGGCAGATAAAAAGCTCCAATTTGATATGCTGATTGTTTGTGGGCATTGGCATAACCTTCTAGCACTACAAGATTTAGTGCTTTTCTCATGATCTCTGTTAGATTCAAGATTAAAGTTGTCTTTAAATCATGAAAGAAATGCATGACAACTTGTAGTTTCCAGATTAACTTATAAGTTCTTCACTTTTGAATATTTCCACCATGCATATTGTTATTGATTTCCCAGGACAGGGTCCTTCTCAACCTGCCCCAAAGTTTGTTGGCAACTTTTTAGCATTTGTATTGAACTTAGTAAGTAGTAACAATTCCACTTACTTAATTATTTGTCAAGCGGAGTGACTGTACAGAAGTTTACCATTATTACTGTTCCGTTTGCTTCAGATTGGCCCAAAAGGTCTGGAATTTGCTCGTTATTCATTAGATTACCATACCATCAGAAATTATCTGCATGTAAATCGCACATGGGGAAAACAAAGGTATCCTTTCCTGGCATAAGATTGAAGGCTCTCTCTCTCTCTCTCTCTCTCTCTCTAATTTTTCTGGTTTATATCTTATTTTGATGTATGCAGAGCTGATAGGCACATGCCATCATATGCAAAGAAAATTGTTTTTTTATAACCAGAATGGGGAAATTGATCAATGCTCTTGACTAAGTGATGAAAACACAGCAAAAGGTGGAAATTCCCTTCACATTCCCATGTATGAGGCTTCCGTGCATTGCTGCTTCTATATATGGTGATGGGCTCCTGAAATGTGGCCATGTAGTGATAATGCCACATTGAAGGCAAACATCATAGTTATTTGAGGTCAGTCTTTATTCCGCTCCAAGTTTCATCAGTATCTGAAGTGGCCAGCATTTAATAGAAGAAAAGGTTTTAAATTCTGAGGAAATGGGCTTTTGGCCTATTTGGTGGACCCTCATTTATCCTGGCAGTTGTAAAATTTCAAACTGTCTGAATTGTGTACAAAATGATATTTTCACTCACTGACCCTTATCATTCCCAGGCTTGTGTTAGATTGAGTTCAACTCGTCTAATTTTTTGCCCTCCATCTTAATTCGTCTCCAGAAAAGAGTAGTACCAATGTTGCTTTAGATTTTGTAATTAGAGATACTTGACTGTTCTGCACAAACTCATTGCTTCACAGCAAGTCAAACTAATGCTTGTATGAAAACTTGGGATCAAGAAATTCTGATTATCAGTAGCTGCACATTAGAAAAGAAACCAACCTAGCCAACAACTGTTTTTCTATTATGCATGAACTCCAAACCAATTCAAATGTTTTAGTAATTTTTATTCCAAAAGAAAAGTTTGACTGAACCAGTTCCTTTTTTAATGTGCGATTCAATAAGACACATCATAATCTGAGGATACAATGAAATTTGTTTTCCCTATAGTAGTTCATAAAGGCAATATCACGTGATTTTTTTTTCTCAAGTACCTGTGACTTGAGTTTGAGACCTCATGGCACTTGATTCTTAAATTACTGGATGCACACTGAAAAATGGACTTTATTTCTAGAGAAACAGTTTATGGCCTTGAATGGAGATTTTGATCTGTCATTTTTAAATCATGCTATCTCATTCTTCAAGTGATTGTTATTTTTTAATAGAATAGTTTAGAGCTGTTTAACTCCTTTGAATCGTAATTAATTTGTTTAACATTAAAACTTTTGAGATAGATGTCAAAGCATGAATTGCAGCTGTAAACAAATTTTGTTAAGTAATCTATGCCTCGTAAAACAAACTAGCAGATTAATAGAAAAGAAAGATAAAGAATAATAGGAAAAAGTTAAAATTGAATAGCAGTAAACCATATGGGTACATGTGGGGTTATTTCACATAACGTTGTTAATTGTATTGAAATCTTAAAAACAAAATATTGATTGTTTTATGGATCATTAGTGTTCCAAAAGTAAGGAAATCGTCTTCGGTTTGTTAACAACCCTCTTATTTCTCTCATTATCAATTCATTACTTGTTATTTCACCAGAAAGTGAGGGAATCCGTGAGTAATAATATTATCTCAGACATGGCTCACTGAAGATTCCATATATAGTTTTTTCTTAAAATTTAATTGGGATAATCCATTAATACTAAAAGGTACCTCTCGCTTGTCTCCACTCTACTTATGAAACATTGCAACCTTCCCTATCTAAGTTTTTTGTTTTGTTAAGTCATTATTAGCTTCCACTTGGTGGTGTTAAATTGTTCGGTATTGCTTTTGCATATATCTTGCATTGGCACTTGTTCTTGTGCACCAATAAAGTAATGATGGGTATAATAACCTGTGAACACAATGAAAGGAGGACAGAAATATACTTATATAACCTTCCTTGCCAAGCTCACATAACCATAGTTTGAATTTTGCATCATCCCAATACATGTGTTTTTAAGACAAGACTCTGCATGTTGTTTTAGAATCACTTGGAGGAACCTTGCATTAGGCATGTTAAGTGCACATCCTTTGAAAGCCAGAACATATGAGTATTCTTTAAGTGGATTCTTGAAATTTGAGTGCATCCACCTGATATCCCATCAACGCTTAGGACAGGTGAGATGGTGGTAGATCACACTGATGCTACTGTGTAGTGCATTGATAGAGGACAACTAGTGAATCCGATGACAGTAGCATGAGTAGTCACCTTTTTTTTTTTTTTTGGGAATCCCTTCCCCCTCCCCAATTCCTCCCACCCAACTGACTGGCCAGGGGATTGATCCCCTGACCAGTCAGCAGGGAAGGCTTTAACCCCTTCCCCTGGCCACCAGCCCGAGAGCTGGTGGTTGGGAGTCACTTGATAATTGGATAGTCTTAAAAAGTCAAATTTATGTGTACTTTTTTTGCTGGGGACATAAATTTGACGTTGTGTATAAATTTAGTCACATAAATTTGACATAAGTTTATGTTGACATAAAAAGTATAAATTTATAGTACCTTTTTTCAACATAAATTTCTGTCCACAGCATAAATTTTTGCTGTGGACATAAATTTTAAAAAGTCCAAACGTTGTGTAGCCAGAAAATGCACAACATGCAGTCATAACCATTTTAAAAAGGGACCATAGCAATCGTCTGATTTGCAATTTGTCTTTTGTCTAGAAAGATAAAAGTGGGCTCAAGCATGTATAGCTTGATAAACCTTCTAACAAGTAGAACAAGTGAAGGAACTGATTTTTCTTCCATGTTGAATGTTCGCTATATCTTACGCAGATGAATGAGCATTGTTGTCAACAATGGTAGCAGCACCTTTCAACTTGGTCATAGTTCATGTCCCATATGTTCCATGTTCCACGCCCTTATAAATGTAAATTTTGTATTTAATCGACAGTTAGTTTAGAAGTCAACTAAGCTGTGTGACTCAGATAGATATTCCACAAATTCTAGCATGGCTAAGAATGTGATAGGGCCATGATTTTCCAGTTAACTTTGCTCATTGTATTCTGAACTTCAACTTCTATTAGCGTTCAGACTAGTTTTTCTTTCAAAAGAGATCGCCATGTTGGAATGTTCACATTGAGCATACTTAATAGAGAGTTTTAATCTGAAGAATAAGTTTGTTTACTGGTAAATTTTGCATGGATTTCTGTTAATAGCTCAGTGTAGTTTATGCTCTCCAACATCCTTTATCAGGTTTAGTATTATTTGTGAATCTTCCTAGAGGGAATTACTAGTTTACTGAGACAGGTCCTGTATGGAGTATATAATTTTCTTAGCTCAAGTAAATTGGTTTCCTCACACAAATATTTTTGTTATCCTCATGCTTTGACAATACAGTGGTCTTTTATCTGGGGTTGCAAATGACTGCTGATAACTGTTCCGGTTCAGATAGGTAGATTAGTACTTGATCAACTTTGTTGCTTGAAATCAATTGACTAAATCTGTTAAAACTTGCTATTAAAGTTTTCAGTCTGCAAACTAGTTTGAGCTATGTATAATCCAGAGTGCCGCAGCTAGTTCATATTCTTCATTAGGTCAACTGTTCTGCACTGATGAACTCAGATGACAACTCACATCTTACTGGGGAGGGAAGGGAAGTTTGTTTAGTCATGCATAGGAATGGGTTTAGATTCTTTTGTTGTCCTCCTGTTTTTTTTCCTTCTGAAGTCTGAGAAAATGTCTGGAACCTGTCAAGATGGATGCCAAAAATGATTAAAAAACTTCATCCTTGTAAGTCCTTTGACAGTAAAGCTTCTTGATGTACCTAGTTCAGTCCTCTGATGTATTCCTGTAATTCATCTGATTTAAGCTCGTAATCCAGCTAATGTAACCTGTACTATATTACATTGAGATATAGTCAAAATGAAGTGCACGAATGCTTTGGGTATGATTAAGGAAACATCAGAACTTAAATGACCAAAGGACACAAAGTACCCACCGTCTAATTTCTATCCCTTGTAGCCATTAAAGGACAAAATTAAGCGTGAAAACATCTTGGAAATAATTGTAGATATATGGCAACTTGAAATGGTTATATTTTTCGAAGGTAACTCTGGAAGAAGGACAAAAGGCATTTGCCCACCATCAAATTTCCAGGACTTTGAAGCTATCAACAGATATCTGTCAAGATGCATCAAAACAAGTAGGAATGGGGGTCTTTTTTTAATGAACTAGAGGATGTTGAGTAGTGTTTGTGACCAGATCGCGTGTCTTTTATTCTCTTGGAAATAGCAATATTTAAGTAGGACATTGCAGAACTGAGGACAACTGTAGAATGTTCCAATGCAATAAGACAGAAGTACAACTGTAGCTTCCATATCACTGACTGGAACTAGAGCAAAATTCAAACACGATCTTTCTGTGGAGCCAAGTTGACTAAGGTGAGCTTAAGTTCATGTTCATTAAGGTTTGAGGTTGACAAGTTTGTATTTTCTAATGAGATTTTACTGTGTGGTGGTGGAGCAATTTTAGATGGGCCACTTATATAAAGGCTTTAATGCATGGTTGAATCAACAGCATGGGTGCACATATGGGGTGTCTATATTTTTGCACTGCATTTTAACTTTTTCTTCCAAGTTCTATGTTAAAAGAACCCATGTTGGTCGATTGCTCTATCGGAAATGAAATTATGCTGGATCTGCAAACCGAAAATTGAGGTCACTAATTGTTTGTTGAATTTAGAGAGTTTATGAGCAAACATGCGAAGAAATCTACTTAGCTCCTGTTTATATCTGAAGTATAAAGTGATGAAAAGAAAGCAAGATTATGTTACATTGATTTTGTTTTCTGTCTGGATGGAAAAGAATAATATCAGATAAGTTAGCTATTACTCACTTCTCACATGGAACATTACGCTCATGTCTGTTTATGAGTTAGGCGGTATTGACTGTGGAGCATAAATGTTTATCTCTATCCGTTTTGTGCTAGAAATGAAAGATGACATTTTGCAAATTGGATAAACGTATGTATTGTATTTTGACTTTGAGAAAGAAATTTCTGGATGAAAAGGGCTTGGAGCAGTCATATGACACCTTGGGAGTGAAGTGGCTGATCCGTTTAATTGCCTCCATGGAATTGAGGATATGTACACCTCTTAACCATAGGAGGTGACAGTGACTGGCAAGATTCATGTGGCATTCATTCAAGGTATAGAAAGGCTATTTTCCATAGGTGGGAAAACATCAGAAAACTGGGCTGTACCCT